TCTGTTTCTAAACTTTTCCAAGTTTTTAATGCTTGTCATCAAATTTTAATTTCTTTCTTCGGCACATTCTCGATCTTATTATTCTTTCAATTTCACTTTCAGGTTGTTACCACTGTAAACAAGATCTGTGGTCATTGACGTATTTCATGTTTTAAATAGAAAAATACAAAAATGTATTTCTACTGACCTGTTAGTTTAATCGTGTTAACTTTTAATACACGTAAAAATAAATTATAGTCAAGATCAGAAACTTACCATTTTCACTTCTTAGGCACACCAAAAATTTCGCCAAGCGCCGAGTTCATGAACTATGCAAGCCAACATTCCCGCTTTCTCCACCTGTAATTGATATAACATATTACAGTGAAAGAATTACATTAGAGTTTTATAAATGTTGGTAATTAAATTATATTCCAGATCACAGACTTACTATTTTCGCTTTTTAGGCATAGCAAAATTTTCGCCAAGCGCCGAGTTCATGAACTATCCAATCCAACATTCCCGTTTGCACCACCTGTAGTTGATATCACATATTAGAGTCAAAGAATTATGATAGAGTTTCATAAATGTTGTTAATTAAATTTATCGGTGTTATTGATGTGTTAAAAAATTTTAAAAGCTTCAAAAATGAAGATATATATAAATAAAAACATAATACATAAGCATATAATAAACATTCACATACAACAAGTGCACTGTAAGCCACAAACTAAATTGTAGTAGTGTTTAGCGAAAAAACACTACTTTATATTTGGTGTTTGAGTCACAACTACATAAGATTCAATCACCAACTTAGATCAAAAAACAACGCGATCAATTTTGAGGGTAGTGGAAAAAACGTACATCATAGACAAAACGCGTCACAAGATAAGGGTGACTAGGCCATAGTCAACCACGCTGGCCCAATGCGGGTTGGTTGACTTCACACATATCTTTGAATTTCTTCGCAGATATGTGCAGGTTGCATCACGATGTTTTCCTTCATCGTAAGAACGTCGAATAAATGTACATATGAAATTCAAAAATCGAAAAACACAATGGTACATGGTGAAAATCGCCACCGACGCTCTAAAAACAAAAGTTGCAGATAGAAATGAAGCAAGGGAAAGGAAAGGTGGGCAAATTGCCAAATGGCAAATAAAAAGTGGCGTATTCATATAGTTTTGATTTATATTAAGAGTCAAATGTAGAACAATGTGTCATTCTTTCATGTATTCAAGGACGGCCAACGAGTAGACTTCTATAGTAACTAGAGTTTTCAATTGATTATTATTTTACTCCGTTTGTATTTCTTTTGGTGTTATTTTTTTTTAATTTTTAATGATTTCTGGCTTAAAACTTTTCAAGTTTTTAATGCTTGTCATCAATCTTTAATTTCTTTTTTCAGAACATTTTCAATTTGTTTTTCTTTTAATTTCGCCTTTAGGTTGCTGCCACTGTAAACAAGATCAGTGGTCATTTGCGTATTTCAAAATGAATTAAATAGAAAACTATAAAATGTATTTCTACTGACCTGTTAGGTTAATCGTTTAAAATTATTGTTCGGTCTCTCAGTCATCATCCGCTTCATGTCATGGACGGGAATTCTAAACAATTTTGTTACTATGAATTTCCACTATCATAACACAAGTGTAAGAACATTTTTATTATCTGTACAATATTGTTATTATACAAGTATCAAGACAGTGGAAACTCACCGTTGGTGATCGCCCAAGCTCATCACTTGTCTCCATCTGAAAGACGAAATAACCTTCAACATAATGTACAAACAAGCGAGCCTGTTACTGCACAGTTAAAGCACTTTATTCCCGGGTTATTACTCCTTAAATATGCCGCAAATACAGAATCGGTGAATACGGAATGGATTTTTTTTTAGGTAAAGTTGTTGTAAGATTTGTTTTATTATTTTATTGGACTTTTTATTATTATGTATGTACTGATTGGAACCGCAAATAACGGAATCATTTGTCCCGAATAAAGGAATTGGGTCGTTTTTTGTTAAACCGCGAATAAGGAGCTTTTACTGTACAGTACTCTCTAGTAAAAGCTCCTCCTACCAAAGCGCAATGCGGCTCCTACCAATGGACGGAACGTCTATATGTGTCAGCATTTAGAAATATACTTTATTTGAGTAAAAATGTTGCTTTCATTCTGTTTAACATTCTCCAAAACCCTGTATATAATATTATTGTAAGATTGATTCAAGACTACGCATTAAAAATTAATTATAGTATAGACCACAGACTTACTGTTTTCGCCTCCAAGGAACAGCAAAATATCGCCAAGCGCCGAATTCATGAACTATCCAATCCAAAATTCCCGTTTGCACCACCTGATATCACATATAAGAGTCAAAAGAATTATAGTGGAGTTTTATAAATGTTGTTAATTAAATATATCGGTGTTATTGATGTGTTAAATATTAAAAAAGCTTCAAAACTGAAGATATATATAAATAAAAACATAATACATAAGCACATAATAAATATACACATACAACAAGTGCACTGTAAGCAACAAACTAAATTGTAGTAGTGTTTAGCAAAAAACACTACTTTATATTTGGTGTTTGAGTCACAACTACATAAGATTCAATCACCAATTTAGATCAAAAAACAACGCGATCAATTTTGAGGGTAGTGGAAAAAACGTACATCATAGACAAAACGCGTCACGAGATAAGGATGACTAGGCCATAGTCAACCACGCTGGCCCAGTGCGGGTTGGTTGACTTCACACATATCTTTGAATTTCTTCGCAGATATGTGCAGGTTGCATCACGATGTTTTCCTTCATCGTAAGAACGTCGAATAAATGTACATATGATATTAAAAAATCGAAAAACACATTGGTACATGGCAGAAATCGCCACCGACGCTCTAGAAACAAAAGTTGCAGATAGAAAAAAAATAAGATAAAAGGGAAAGGACGGGTGGGGGAATTGCCAAATGGCAAATAAAAAGTGGCGTATTCATAAAGTTTTGGTGTATATTAAGAGTCAAATGTAGAACAATGTATCATTCTTTCATGTATTCAAGGAGGGCCAACGAGTAGACTTCTTTAGTAACTAGAGTTTTCAATTGATTATTATTTAACTCCTCTTGTATTTCTTTTGGTGTTATTTTTTTTAATTTTTAATGATTTCTGGCTTAAAACTTTTCAAGTTTTTAATGCTTGTCATCATCTTTAATTTCTTTTTTCAGAACATTTTCAATTTGTTTTTCTTTTAATTTCGCCTTTAGGTTGCTGCCACTGTAAACAAGATCTGTGATCATTGGCGTATTTCAAAATGAATTTTATTTCAAAATATAAAATGTATTTCTACTGACCTGTTAGGTTAATCGAGTAAAATTAATGTTCGGTCTCTCAGTCATCATCCGCTTCATGTCATGGACGGGAATTCTAAACAATTTTGTTACTATGAATTTCCACTATCATAACACAAGTGTAAGAACATTTTTATTATCTGTACAATATTGTTATTATACAAGTGTCAAGACAATGGAAACTCACCGTTGGTGGTCGCCCAAGCTCATCACTTGTCTCCATCTGAAAGAAGAAATAACCTTCAAGATAATGTACAGACAAGCAAGCCTGTTACTGCACAGTTAAAGCACTTTATTCCCGGGGTATTTCTCTATAAATATGCCGCAAATACAGAATCGGTGAATACGGAATAGTATTTTTTTTAAGCAAAGTTGTACGAAGGTTTTGTTTTACTATTTTAGCGCAATGCGGCTCCTACCATTGGACGGTACGTCTAATATGTGTCAGCATTTAAAAATATACTTTATTTGAGTAAAAATGTTGCTTTCATTCTGTTTAACATTCTCCAAAACACTATATGTAATGTTATTGTAAGATTTATTCAAGACTACGCATTAAAAATAAATTTAATAAAGACCACGGACTTACTGTTTTCGCCTCCAAGGAACAGCAAAATATCGCCAAGCGCCGAATTCATGAACTATCCAAACCAAAATTCCCGTTTGCACCACCTGTTGTTCACATAATATATTAGAGTCAAGGAATTATTTTAGAATCTTATAAATGCAGTTAATAAAATTATAGTATAGACCACCGACTTACTGTTTTCGCCGCCAAGGAACAGCAAAATATCACCAAGCGCCGAATTCATGAACTATCCAATCCAACATTCCCGTTTGCACCACCTGTAGTTGATGTCACATATAAGAGTCAAAGAATTATAGTGGAGTTTTACAAATGTTGTTAATTAAATTTATCGGTGTTATTGATGTGTTAAAAAATTTAAAAAGCTTCAAAAATGAAGATATATGTAAATAAAAACATAAGACATAAGCATATAATAAATATACACATACAACAAGTGCACTGTAAGCAACAAACTAAATTGTTGTTGTGTTTGGCGAAAAAACACTACTTTATATTTGGTGTTTGAGTCACAACTACATAAGATTCAATCACCAACTTAGATCAAAAAACAACGCCATCAATTTTGAGGGTAGTGGAACAAACGTACATCATAGACAAAACGCGTCACAAGATAAGGGTGACTAGGCCATAGCCAACCACGCTGGCAAAGTGCGGGTAGGTTGACTTCACACATATCTTTGAATTTCTTCGCAGATATGTGCAGGTTGCATCACGATGTTTTCCTTTATCGTAAGAACGTCAGGTAAATGTACATATGAAATTCAAAAATCGAAAAACACATTGGTACATGGTGGAAATCGCCACCGACGCTCTAGAAACAAAAGGTACAGATAGAAAAAAAAACAAGAAAAAATGGAAAGGACGGGTAGGCAAATTGCCAAATGGCAAATAAAAAGTGGCGTATTCATAAAGTTTTGATGTATATTAAGAGTCAAGTGTAGAACAATGTGTCATTCTTGCATGTATTCAAGGAGGGCCAACGAGTAGACTTTTTTTAGTAACTAGAGTTTTCAATTGATTATTATTTTACTCCATTTGTATTTTCTTTTGGTGTTATTTTTTTAAAGTTTTAATGATTTCTGGCTTAAAACTTTTCAAGTTTTTAATGCTTGTCATCATCTTTAATTTCTTTTTTCAGAACATTTTTAATTTGTTTTTCTTTTAATTTCGCCTTTAGGTTGCTGCCACTGTAAACAAGATCAGTAGTCATTGGCGTATTTCAAAATGAATGAAATAGAAAACTATAAAATGTATTTCTACTGACCTGTTAGGTTAATCGTTTAAAATTATTGTTCGGTTTCTCAGTCATCATCCGCTTCATGTCATGGACGGGAATTCTAAACAATTTTCTTACTATGAATTTCCACTATCATAACACAAGTGTAAGAACATTTTTATTATATGTACAATATTGTTATTATACAAGTGTCCAGACAGTGGAAACTCACCGTTGGTGGTCGCCCAAGCTCATCACTTGTCTCCATCTGCAAGACAAAATAACCTTCAACATAATGTACAAACAAGCAAGCCTGTTACTGCACAATTAAAGCACTTTATTCCCGGGGTATTTCTCTATAAATATGCCGCAAATACAGAATCGGTGAATACGGAATGTATTTTTTTTTTAGGTAAAGTTGTTGTAAGATATGTTTTATTATTTTATTGGACTTTTTATTATTATGTATGTACTTATTGGAACCGCAAATAACGGAATCATTTGTCGCGAATAAAGGAATTGGGTCGTTTTTTGTTAAACCGCGAATAAGGAGCTTTTACTGTACAGTACTCTCTAGTAAAAGCTCCTCCTACCAATGGATGGAACATGTAATATGTGTCAGCATTTAGAAATATACTTTATTTGAGTAAAAATGTTGCTTTCATTCTGTTTAACATTCTCCAAAACACTTTATGTAATATTATTGTAAGATTGATTCAAGACTACGCATTAAAAATTAATTATAGTATAGACCACAGACTTACTGTTTTCGCCTCCAAGGAACAGCAAAATATCGCCAAGCGCCGAATTCATGAACTATCCAAGCCAAAATTCCCGTTTGCACCACCTGTAGTTGATTTCACATATAAGAGTCAAGGAATTATAGTGGAGTTTTATAAATGTTGTTAATTAAATTTGTCGGTGTTATTGATGTGTTAAAAAAATTTAAAAGCTTCAAAAATGAAGATATATATAAATAAAAACATAACATATAAGCATATAATAAATATACACATACAACAACTGCACTGTAAGCAACAAACTAAATTATAGTAGTGTTTAGCAAAAAAACACTACTTTATATTTGGTGTTTGAGTCACAACTACATAAGATTCAATCACCAACTTACGACGCGATCAATTTTGAGGGTAGTAGAAAAAACGTACATCATAGACAAAACGCGTCACAAGATAAAGGTGGCTAGGCCATAGTCAACCACGCTGGCCCAATGCGGGTTGGTTGACTTCACACATGTCTTTGAATTTCTTCGCAGATATGTGCAGGTTGTATTACGATGTTTTCCTTCATCGTAAGAAATCGAAAAACACAATGGTACATGGTGAAAATCGCCACCGACGCTCTAAAAGCAAAAGTTGCAGATAGAAAAGAAACAAGGGAAAGGAAAGGTGGGCAAATTGCCAAATGGCAAATAAAAAGTGGCGTATTCATAAAGTTTTGATGTATATTAAGAGTCAAGTGTAGAACAATGTGTCATTCTTGCATGTATTCAAGGAGGGCCAACGAGTAGACTTCTTTAGTGACTAGAGTTTTCAATTGATTATTATTTAACTCCATTTATATTTTCTTTTGGTGTAATTTTTTTTTAATTTTAAATGATTTCTGTTTCTAAACTTTTCCAAGTTTTTAATGCTTGTCATCAAATTTTAATTTCTTTTTTCGGCACATTCTCGATCTTATTATTCTTTCAATTTCACTTTCAGGTTGTTACCACTGTAAACAAGATCTGTGGTCATTGACGTATTTCATGTTTTAAATAGAAAAATACAAAAATGTATTTCTACTGACCTGTTAGTTTAATCGTGTTAACTTTTAATACACGTAAAAATAAATTATAGTCAAGATCAGAAACTTACCATTTTCACTTCTTAGGCACACCAAAAATTTCGCCAAGCGCCGAGTTCATGAACTATGCAAGCCAACATTCCCGCTTTCTCCACCTGTAATTGATATAACATATTAGAGTCAAAGAATTACATTAGAGTTTTATAAATGTTGGTAATTAAATTATATTCCAGATCACAGACTTACTATTTTCCCTTTTTAGGCATAGCAAAAATTTCGCCAAGCGCCGAGTTCATGAACTATCCAATCCAACATTCCCGTTTTCTCCACCTGTAATTGATATAACATATTAGAGTCAAAGAATTACATTAGAGTTTTATAAATGTTGGTAATTAAATTATATTCCAGATCACAGACTTACTATTTTCGCTTTTTAGGCATAGCAAAAATTTCGCCAGGCGTCGAGTTCATGAATTATCCAATCCAACATTCCCGTTTTTGCCACCTGTAGTTGATATAACATATTAGAGTCAAAGAATTAAGATAGAGTTTCATAAATGTTGTTAATTAAATTTATCGGTGTTATTGATGTGTTAAATATTAAAAAAGCTTCAAAACTGAAGATATATATAAATAAAAACATAATACATAAGCACATAATAAATATACACATACAACAAGTGCACTGTAAGCAACAAACTAAATTGTAGTAGTGTTTAGCAAAAAACACTACTTTATATTTGGTGTTTGAGTCACAACTACATAAGATTCAATCACCAATTTAGATCAAAAAACAACGCGATCAATTTTGAGGGTAGTGGAAAAAACGTACATCATAGACAAAACGCGTCACGAGATAAGGATGAGATAGGCCATAGTCAACCACGCTGGCAAAGTGCGGGTTGGTTGACTTCACACATATCTTTGAATTTCTTCGCAGATATGTGCAGGTTGCATCACGATGTTTTCCTTCATCGTAAGAACGTCGGGTAAATGTACATATGAAATTCAAAAATCGAAAAACACATTGGTACATGGTGGAAATCGCCACCGACGCTCTAGAAACAAAAGGTACAGATAGAAAAAAAACAAGAAAAAAGGGAAAGGACGGGTGGGCAAATTGCCAAATGGCAAATAAATAGTGGCGTATTCATAAAGTTTTGATGTATATTAAGAGTCAAGTGTAGAACAATGTGTCATTCTTGCATGTATTCAAGGAGGGCCAACGAGTAGACTTCTTTAGTAACTAGAGTTTTCAATTGATTATTATTTAACTCCATTTGTATTTTTTTGGTGTATAATATTTATTTTTTTTTAATTTTAAATGATTTCTGTTTCTAAACTTTTCAAGTTTTTAATACTAGTCATCAATCTTTAATTTCTTTTTTCCGAATATTCTCGATCTTATTTTTCTTTCAATTTCACTTTCATGTTGTTACCACTGTAAGCAAGATCAACTTTCATTGACGTATTTCATAATGAATTAAATAGAAAACTATAAAATGTATTTCTACTGACCTGTTAGGTTAATCTTGTAAAATTAAATTTCGGTCTCTCAGTCATCATCCGCTTCATGTCATGGACGGGAATTCTAAACAATTTTGTTACTATGAATTTCCGCTATCATAACACAAGTGTAAGAACGTTTTTATTATCTGTACAATATTGTTTTTATACAAGTGACAAGACAGTGGAAACTCACCGTCGGTGGTCGCCCAAGCTCATCACTTGTCTAAAAAAAATTCCATTCCGTATTCACCGATTCTGTATTTGCGGCATATTTAAGGAGTAATAACCCGGGAATAAAGCAGCAGTGAAAGCTCTTTATTCCCGGGTTATTAGTATGTACTGATTGGAACCGCAAATAACGGAATCATTTGTCGCGAATAAAGGAATTGCGTCGTTTTTTTGTTAAACCGCGAATAAGGAACTTTTACTGTACAGTACTCTCTAGTAAAAGCTCCTCCTACCAAAGCGCAATGCGGCTCCTACCAATGGATGGAACATGTTATATGTGTCAGCATTTAGAAATATACTTTATTTGAGTAAAAAATTTGCTTTCATTCTGTTTAACATTCTCCAAAACACTTTATGTAATATTATTGTAAGATTTATTCAAGACTACGCATTAAAAATAAATTTAGTATAGACCACAGACTTACTGTTTTCGCCTCCAAGGAACAGCAAAATATCGCCAAGCGCCGAATTCATGAACTATCCAAACCAAAATTCCCGTTTGCACCACCTGTCATTCACATAATATATTAGAGTCAAAGAATCTTATAAATTTGGTAAATAAAATTTTAGTATAGACCAAAAACTTACTGTTTTCGCCTCCTAGGAACAGCAAAATATCGCCAAGCGCCGAATTCATGAACTATCCAAGCCAAAATTCCCGTTTGCACCACCTGTTGTTCACATAATATATTAGAGTCATCAAGAATCTTATAAATTTGGTAAATAAAATTATAGTATAGACCACAAACTTACTGTTTTCGCCTCCTAGGAACAGCAAAATATCGCCAAGCGCCGAATTCATGAACTATCCAAGCCAAAATTCCCGTTT